CAAGAAAGCCAACGTGATAGTGGATTGTTTAGAAAACCAGTTCACATTTCATGACCTATGTGACGAAAGCCACGTGCAACAGGTAGACTACAGTCCAAGCTCTGCTTGCATCTGTAGAAGGCACTCCGTTGGGGAAAGTACAACCTTGTGACATACATAAATTAACAAATACATTAAAATTGTGAAAGGCTGGTGGACTTGATGGTATTCCAAATGAATGCCTTAGGCTTCTTCCAAGATCACTGGTACATCTAACACATTTAATTAATCACTGCCTTCAGCTGTCCTATTTTCCAAAGCCTTGGAAGGAAGCAAAGGTAAACCTGGTAAGGACCCAAAATTTCCTCAAGATCTATGCACGATTAGCCTCTTGTCTATAACAGGCAAGCTATTTGAAAAAGTTATTTTGAAAATAGTCCAAAGGCACATTGAAGAAAAAGGCCCTGATTAATGCAAGTCAGTTTGGTTTCCATGCCCATCATAGCATGACACTTCAATGTATGAGGCTTATGGACCATGTAACCTTAAATTTCAACGATAACATGTCTACAGCTGCTGTATTCTTGGATACTGAAAAAGCCTTTGATAAAACATGGCACACTGGCTTACTATATAAATTACTTACATTACAATTTTTGATAAGTTCAATCAAGCTTATTTGCTCTTTCCTTTCTCAGAGAAAACTCAGAGTTTCAGTCAAAGGTAAAATGTCTACACCAAGGGATATACAAGCAGGAGTGCCACAAGGTTCTGTTCTCTCCCCCCCAATGTACAGTCTATATATAAACGATACGCCCCAAACACCTGGTGTCTATCTAGGTCTCTTTGCTGACAACAGCTGTATATATGCGACAGACCGCTAAGAGGGTTATGTTCTCAGAAAGCTGCAGCGAGGTCTCAGTGTTATTGAGACGTGGTGTGATCGCTGGAACATAAAAATCAATGAAGATAAAACTCAGGCAATCTACTTCTCTCATACACTTAGGCCCCCTCAGACTCATCTTACACTGAATGGGCAGAATCTCCTTTTGTCAATCATGCAAAATACCTGGGCATAATCTTCGATAAGAGGATTATGTGGAGACTTCACATAGAAATGATTGAAGCAAAGGCCTTCAGAACAGTTATTAGAATCTACTCTCTATTCAAAAGTGAGAATTTAAACGCAAACATTAAACTATCCCTGTATAAGGCACTCTTCAGATCAGTAATGACTTACGTTTGTCCCGCCTGGGAATTAGCGGCAGACACCTACCTCCTAAAATTGCAGCGCATGCAAAACAAGGTTTTGTGCACCACTGGAAATTTTCCAAGGTGCACACCAGTCCGCAACTTGCACATGCCTTTCAACCTTCCGTATGTATATGATTATATAACAAAATTGTGCAGACAACAAGCAGAAGTCATACAAAATCATGATAATGAACATGTTCACAGTATAGGGCAAGGTGAAGCCAGACACAGAAAATATAAGAGGCTTAAACTTGGCGGTGGTCAAGCTTATGACCGTTCAAATGACTAAGTTTTCGTTGTACCATAAGATCTGTAAGTTAGGAATGATCTGCTCTGTAAAGCCTGTACTGACAGAGGACTTATGTGTAAAGCAAAAGGAAGAGTTTTCGATAACATATCATATGTGCGAAATATACACTTGACGAAAGGTCGAGTGTATTCATAAGAGACAGACCCATCTTCTGGTCAGAGAGGATGTTACATAAGGACTATTACTGCAAGAGTTCAGTTGGAAAAAAATCTCTGGTCATGGGCCTTAAGGGGCCTGACGCCAAGACGAACTGATTGGCGATAAACTGTCAGTCGTAAAGTAACTCTGACTCTGACTGAAGAAACAGGCACTGGCAAGGGCCAGCAGAATATACAAAAGACATTCCCGTCCTCTCATCAGAGAGGGCGCCCCACAAAAACAAGACCGTAAATGCCAAACAGTAGTAAATAGCTGGTCATGAGCCCCACATGGGGCTCGACACCAAGACTTACTGACTGACTGACCGACCGTCAGTTGCAAAGTGACTTAGACTTGGACGAAACATTCTACCACTGAACCACCAAAGAGATCCCACACGTGTGGAAGCAGGGTCGAATACCTCCACTGTGACCCTGTGAGTCGTAGAAGGCGACGAAAAAGGAAGTCTCAAATCTGAGACAGTAAAATATGGTTTCGAGTCTCAAGGGATTCAGACCTGAGAAAGACTACACTGGCAAGACCCAGTAGCATGTAAGAAAGACAGATCCGTCCTCTCATCAGAGAGCGCACCCCACAAAAAACAAAACCATAACGTTCAACAGTAATAAATATCTGATCATGAAAGACTTACTGACTGACTGACCGTCAGTCGCAATGTGACTTGGACTTGGAAGAAACATTGTGTGTGTTCTGACAGTTTGACAATTCAACATTCAACAGTTCTAGTGAGAGTATTTAACACAAAAGGACAGATTGTGTGATAATTACGTTGAATTGTATTTATGTGGAAGAGCAATAAGGTGACATGGCAAGAATACACATCTCTAGGTCTTGTTTCACGACACCGTGTATACATTTATTGCAGATTCTGCAGATTATGTAAATAAATGTATGAAAAAAAAAATTTAGTTTCAAAGAGGCTTCTCAGATTCAACAACCTCTTGTATCTGGGTTAATACAACTGTTAGGGAAATACACTTTGCATAAATAGCAAATTTCAGCATTGCCAATACAGGGAATAACAGAGTCTGCACCTCAGTATATCTCAAACTTTTGACAGCCAATGCTCTGCAAAATGACTACTGAAACGAAAGAAATTAACAGAATGTTAACTGCCCTCACTGAAGTCACTTCCTACAAGGGACCTTAAAATTCAATCAGCAAATAGAGAACTTCCCCCTAAAGGAAGTTAAAGGTTTATCATCATAACAGCAAAAGCCTGACAGTGAACCTTATACTAAACATGATATTCACACAGTATAATAAATTCATACACCATCTGCAATTATAAGAAAATAAGAATTAAAAACATTATTTTGTACATGGCAAAGAGTGCAGCTAGATATAGTTTCCAATGAGCAGAACATCTGTATGATACTGGTCATGTTCAAGTTATTAATTTAATGTTGTCACATGTACACCCGCTCAGTCGGTACAGTTCGCTTGCGGACTAAAACCAGGAAGTTTCTTTTTGTCATGCATGTTTGACTATAGACAGGGTTTGGACTGGTGATTGGATTTATTGAACACTTAACAGATTGCGACTAAAAGTAACTACAGTGCTATTGCTAATTCAAACACTCTTCAGTTCAGCAGTTCACTACAGCACATAATAAGTCTTCTCAGTCTGTTGTCTTTTCACCAGTCATTGCCTGGTGGCTGATCCCAACAATGTCCTCTGCTTCGGTGCTAATGTTCTTACCAACTGGCGACTGCCCCACAACTAACTCATTGCTCCAACTGTCCTGATTGATTGATTGATTTATTTATTTATTTAACATCCATAACTGTTACATTACGTACAATTGGACAAGTCAGTCTTATAAAAAAATATATGAGATATGTCCTGCTTATATCATTTCAGCATACACTGCACAGAAAACATTGTTCCTCTACTGCTGTTCAACTGTTGCTTAGCAGACCACATAGAAAACACCATTCCTTTGTTGTTTGTGGGCTGCTGCCTACCAATGGGCGCTGCACAGTCACCTATCCTGTGGTCGCTGCCTAGCAACAGGTCTACATGCCACAATATTATACGACAAATAATATATCTTCCACATACAAGCATACAAACGTTCCTATTTATAGTACTAAAACACCAGCAAAAATATGAAGCATTTCACTGTATTGTGGCAAATGGATTCATTGCTAGGCAATGATATCAAAAGAAGCAGCTACACAGCAGCTGTTATTGAGTAATGGCTTTTCAAACAAGCATGTGTGTGCAGCAACAATTGGAAACAACAATAAAGGAACAATGTGTTCTCTGCGGTCCATGGCAAAATGTTACGAGCAGGGCAGTTAATGAGAGTCAGTTAGTGGAGTGAGTAAGCTGACTGCTGCAGTTCAGCCACTGTGAGCTGTTGCCATTTAAAGCTTGTAGCTGAGGCCAGAGGCAGTTCGAGAACCCAGAGGAAGAGGAACACCTGCCATTGGAAGCCACTACCAAACAATGGCTAGGGAAGACTGAGAAGACTGTGTGTGCTGTGGCTACAGTGATCTTTGGAGAGTGTAACTCAGTGAGACTGTTTAGTTATTTATAGTTGCATTCTGTTAGTAGTAAATAAATCCGATTACCAACCCAAACCCCATCTATAGTCACTCATACACGTGACAGTATATACACTCACAAGTACCAAATTTCATGACATGGTAATTTTGTTCGGTATAATGTTCCTCTAAAGGCTTACTGTAACATATCACAACAACAATCAAGAACATTAGAACAAAAATTCATCTCTGTACCTTCTCAATGCAACATCAACATGAAAGTCGGCATAAAGTTCTATGCTTTGTGTGACCCAACCACAAACCAAATGCTTTAACTGTAAGAGGATAATCTTTATCCATCTGAAGGTTGGTTGATGCATGACATAACCTTTTATAAACTGTATGAGTTATTTTACTACAGAATCAGATGATATGGTAAATATTTGTGATGAAGTGAAAAAAGAAGAGCAAGGAAAAGTATATGACATACTGACATTTTCCTCAAAGTATTGAGGAAAACAATGAAAAAAAAACTGTAGGGACATCCTCTGACCACAAGTCTAATGTTTCATGGCTTCAGTTATCTGTCTGTTGCGTGGTGTGGATAAAAGGCCGTACTGACTTATAAGCCATCTTAATGTTAAAAAAAAAAGAAGAAGAAGAAGAAGAAGAAATTAACATAACTGCCAAGAATTCAATGACAGCAAACCAGTTCACAATCAGTGACTTTACAAAGTTATTAAGGCATAATTAACAATACAGAAATCAGGTAGAGCATGTTACCCAACCAAAAAGTGAAGCGCACCTTTAGCTCTACTGGTGTGAAGTCGACCACGCACCCATACTGTTGTGTTTGCAAAATCTGGTTCCAGCTGTTTAACATGAAAAAACTCTCGCCTGATGATTTCTGCACTCTGTATCATAGGAATTTGTCCATACTTCCCTACAGAGTAATCATCATCACTTCCAGTATCATGCTGCTGACTGGCCTGTGTGAACAGAAATTATGTTCCTGCTCCATTGTTATATTGGTTTCTGGTGCAACAACTTTATATTATAGTAATGAAGTACACACAAGCCCTCATATAAAATTACCCACTGGAAAAATTGTTGCACAATTCTTACTACACCCAACACAAATATTACATAACTTGAATTTAAAGAAGGCAACTGAAAATAACACAATCGAACCTAACCTGTCACTAAATATGGGTTAATTAGAAAAATAAAAATACAACTTCATTACACACATCAGTAAATATTATAATCCAGTCAACGATTATATTGCAATGATGGCTGAAAGCCAAACAGTGAAGTGAACTGGAGCAGTCATTGCTAGATAACATATACTGACATAACAATAGGGGATGCAGTGCTTTCTGTGTGGTCCATGCCAAGGTCAGAGTCAGCAGTTTGTAGTCGTGAGTTGAAAGTGGGCAGTAGTAATTCATGGCTGGCCATGACGAACCTCCTTTGTTAGCAGCCACTACCTAGCAATGACTAGTGATGGCAGAATAACAGCAGTTTGTAGTCGTGAGTTGAAAGTCGGCAGTAGTAATTCATGGTTGGCCATGATGAACCTCCATTGTTAGCAGCCACTACCTAGCAATGACTAGTGATGGCAAAATAACAAACAGAAGAGTTTGTGTGTGCTGTAGTTGTAACAATTTATAGCATGCATAATTAGTTGGATTGTTATAATCATTTGTAGCTACAAGTTCCATAAATCCAGTTATTAAGAATATCCTGTGTTTGGTCACTAACACGTGATAGTATTTCAAGCAATTCACTGACATGTTGTAAAGATACAACAAACAGAGAAAGTAAAGAAATACGACAATAAATAATAGAATCTGACAGCAGTGATTAAAAATCAATAAAAATTTATAACAAAAGAGGAAAGTAATCACTCACTTTATAGTTACATTACATTTGAGCACATTTCTTCCCATTACTTTGTTACATCAAATCTGCATCATGCTTAATTCTGGATTAAAGCTGTAATACAGAATTTATTTCTAAAATATATCACTATTAAAATTCAGAGTAAAATATAAAACATACATTCAGTGCCTTTCTTTCTTCCTTCCTGGCAGTTTTAGCAGCATCTTTTGCCTCTTTCTTTTGAGCTTTCTTAGATTTTGTGTGATCCCTGACACAGAACACAAAAATGTTTTATTTAGTTGACTGCAGGCTGAAATAATACATCAACACAAACACTAAACAGTTTCTACAACTAATACTCACTCTGCTGAAGCCAACCCATTTCCTTTACTACCAACCACCATAACTACAAGCAACCTAGTCCTGTTTTATCTGAAAGCAGAAAATCAAAATGCACAATATTTTACAGGAGTCTGATATATGGAACCGTGGCCATGAGTTACTCTTTGGCACAGGGCCAATCATCACCAATCAAATAAAATTCAACTATATACCTGAACTGTAGCTTTCTACAACAATGTCTGAGCTTGCTGTGGTTTATTTTATGTTACCAGTATGCAGACTATATACCACTGCATTAGTGGGGAAAAAGGGGTAGGGGGTATTTCTAATTTTAGTGAAGTTATTTGTCGCGTGACATACACCCAACACGTGACAATACGAACCTTCTTTTAATTAGCAGTACATACAGATGCAGGAACCAGCAAGAGATGATGCTGCTACTTTAACTGGAAAGGATTTAACAGTCGCCATGGCCAATTCATGTACTATCCCACAACTTGCCTGGTGGTACCACGGAAACCACGTAAATCTTAAGTGGGGACAGAGTCCTTGCCGACATTAGAACCAAGCACCTTCTGAATTCAAGTCTAGCCAATCGACTCGGTATATCTGAGTTGACACGAATAACTATGTATTCTCATATCATTCTCCTAGGCGCATGCGCGAAGTAACATTCTGTACAGTAACATTTTTCAAAAATTGGCTTGGATAACGTAACAATATGGCATGTGTAAGGAATTATATTTAGTTCCTGTGCCGACGTAATATAAATGTATGGTATCATATAAATGCACTCAACGTATTGTTATGTTGTCCCTAACTATTAATTTACAAATCCTGCTAGCGTCCATAATATAAATTGTAATTTATGATGGGCGGCACACTTCTTAAGTTGTTCACGGAATTATTCCAATATAAATGGTAAAGTAATAAAATGGTTAGAATGTCACGTGCACATCCACATGTGAATAACTACTGAAACCGACTGTAGCTATGTATTAAGTAATTTCCTCTACAGCCACGTAACTTACGCTCAACCATTCCTTGAAATTGCTTCATTGTACTAATATCGAGAGATATTCATTGATCTTAGACATACTACCTACCTCTGTAATATTCCGCTTGACTCCTTTTCACTTGCAGTCACACACAAAAACAAATAATTCGATAAATCAGCTTGTTAAAATAATCGAAGGATTTGCGTGTTTAAACAATAATCGAATGTATTTTCAGTGGGTACGAAACCCCTGCCGAACCCTGACACGGATCCTTTAACAAAATGTTAACCCTGCTTATCAGCTAATGATCGATTCCAGTCATTCCCAGACTTTAGTTCACGCTGCTGAGTAGAGATGGATGTTCTGCATGTTTCCCAGCATCGAGCGGATCGAGTGTAATGAGGTAATGAGTGGCATTGTGGTTACTGCGCACCGATGTAGTTGTTGTAGTATAAGATTGTTCGGTTTGTTAGGGAAACGTAAAATGTCGGCGCCCGATGAGGATGTATTTTATTGTTATGAATAATCTATTATTACCATATTCGAATTCTTCACTTAAAAGTATATAAGTTTCAGACATCAGGAGGAAAGCTGAGATTATTCGTACGTGGTAACGCTTTGTTGCATTGTGTAGATTTATAGACGTTTAATATTTTTCATGAGTCTCCGTTCATGCGATTCTGTTAGAGCGTGTTAAGTATCAATTCGTGGATTTACGTATGGAAAAAAAGCGAATGAGTTTTGTTTCATTCTGTGAAATTTATTTATTTTGGTTATTATGTGTTTTAGGGCATTTTTTATCCCCCCTTATTTTGAGTCATGCTTTATATGTTGTTGATGAGCTGATGTTATTAAAAATGAAGACAGATTCATTTGCAAATTTCATTCTGTCATATATATTATGGAACATGAATTATTTGTATATTCTTCTACAGTGTGCTCAACTTTGCACTTCCTGTGCAAACCACTGAGTAGCTCTGCAGGAAGTGTTGGAAGTTCTTCCCATTGAATTTGACTGGAAATATGGAATACTATCATAATTGATAACCTGCTGCTGAAATAATTACAGATAAACCCTACCCAGATTGTAACATGTTGGAAATGCTCATTTATATTCCCCATACCACCAGTTAATCTGATTTCTTTAAAGTGACCACTCCATATTTTATTTTTCTCTACCCTGACTGACAGTGAAATTTATGCTAGGCATGATCATTCTGCTAAGAACAACAGAATACTTCCTTCATCTGTTGTAATATGGATAAATTTTAATTGTAATATTTTGGGCTGTGGGTTTGTTGATTATGCTGGCAGTCTGAATATCCCTGGGCCAACTGGACAGGAAGAGCATTCAACATTTCACCTACTGCACAATTTTTGTAAACTCAAAAATGATCACATCATATGTAGAGAGTGAACTAAGTGTGTAGAATTTATATGAATAATAATTACTTTGAATTTTAAGTATTTCTAAACATGCTGTACGATTGGCAAGGAACTATTGGCAGTATAATTTGTATATGTGATATGATTGTGTAATTGTATTTGAAAAGCATATTTCTGTTGTGTTATATTAGAGTTGGTAAAGATACTTTTTTTTTTAATTCGCTTAATGGGGGGTGTAGTCAGGTCCACTCTGATTGGCCTATTGTACCTGCCCTGGGTGATTATGATGATGGAGAATTTGCTGGAATGAAGATTGGCAAGGGAAACCAAAGTACTCGAAGAAAACCTACTCCAGCCCCACTTTGTCCACCACAAATCCCACTTGACCAGACCCGGGTTTGAACCCAGGCCGCCGTGGTGGGAAGCCAGCGACTAAGTGGTTGAGCTGTGGTGCGGCCTTAGTAAAGATAACATAATACATAAAGGTTAAGGCACATTTTGAACTGTTATGCCATCCTGAATAGTTGGTAGAAAGCACAGGAAACTGGGGAAGAACTTTAAAATGCAGTGCTATGTGAATGTCTTTAGTACTGAGGAGTTCTACCTTCTGAGACATAAGACCATGTAATTCATTGAAATTCAACTGAAAATTTGAAGGAAAATGTTGCCTTCATCTTCAGGGTCAGAAAACAAGCCAAGCAAGAAACTCGTGTCAAGCAGATATGCTTGCTACCTGCTTACTTGTTGCATACCTGTTTCATGCTGATTTCTTGCTTGGCTTATTCTTCAACTCTGAAGATGGAGGTGTCATGTTCCTCCAAAATGTTGGTTGGCTTTCAGCAGAGAACACCACGTCCTATCACAGAAGTTAAGACTTCATAACTACTGCTGCTATCCTACTCGTACATCTTTAGTACTGTCCAGGTTTCTAGACCTGGCAGTTATCAGCAGAATTAAAGGTGGATATAGTTGAGTCCTGTAAATGAGATAGCAGGGCCTTAGTGCTCCATTCTCTCTCCATTCCTCCCACAGTACACTGCAAATGTTGCCCTACTTGTATTTCACCTTGCTTGAACAGCCTCTGTGGTCTAGTGGTCAGAGGTCCGGGTTTGATTCCTGGTGCTACCAGATTTTTTTTCTGAGAAGTAGTGGGTGTGGAACAGGGTCCACTCAGCCTCATGCTTATAATTGAGGAGCTGTTTGAAGGAAACAGCGTCTCCAGTCTAGAAAACCAAAATTAATGGCTGTGGGGATTCATTGTGCTGACCATGCAACACCCTCTATCTGCAAAAGTTGGCACTAACTTCAACAAGCGGTGGTTGCTCAGCAGTAGTTCGCTTGCCGACTAAAATCACGGAGTTTGAGTTTGAACCCCCATGAACTCGGATATCAAGCCTGTGTGTACTCATGAGATTTTATTGCCAGATATGTTGCAGAATGTATTTGATTTCAGTTTATGAATCCCATGATAAATATAATGCAAAGCAAATTAAATTAAATTAAATTTGACTAGGCTAACATGCTGAGAGACTTGGATTTTTTTTTTGGAAACAGAGTTCAGTTACAAAAAGGAAATTTATGTTGTAAATGTATTACCAGAGTTAAATAGAATGACATGGGAGGATCTTACTGTGATTTTCAGGATTTCTTTATAGCTTTGTGTGTGAGAGGACAGTGAGGTGGCTGTGATGTTGGTGCTTGGTACATCATTCTGTGTTCCTGCATTGTTGCCATGTCCTATACTGAATTGGAGCATGGCTACCAGGGCCTCCGCAGAGCACGTCCTGCCTTCTATATTGGTGTTGATGGCAATGGTTGCCCAGCTGTGAGGGCAGCCAAGAACAGAGTGAGTAAATTCATATGCAGACTGTAACTTTCTCTAATTATCCCTAGTTATGCATGTGGAACTTATTTTAGTTAAGGTGTCGTGCCAGAGTTAAAAATAGTTCAGGAAGGAAGATCTGTAGTGTATGCTGTTACAAGTTCATGAGTTTCTGTTAGCCATGGTTGGAAACTGGTTGGGCCTGTTGCTTGGTATATCTGAACCTTTTATTTGCTTATTTTTTTCTAGGGTGTCCAGAAAGTATGCACATTGGAAGTATATTTATGAGGAATGTTTTAGAGTTCTCTATTTTTTATGAACTTCAGATGTGAATAGAATTGGATGTTACCAAATACGGGAGTATAGTGTATTTCTGTTGAATAAAATATATTGCCTGCAGAAAGAAAGTGGTCCAGTCACAGCCAAACTTTGAGATTTGTTCCCTGATATCTATCTTGAGTGTTTGATGAGTCAGAGCTTCACTGGAGGGGTGTCCAAATCCAAACAGGACAAAGAAACATCTCCAGTAGAAGGGAGCAATTGATGCAACTGTCACTGCCAAAATATAGTTTAAATTAGCATATCTGTTCATAAAATTTGGGGCATGCAGTAGCGTAGTTGGTTGAGGTACTATGCTACAATCTGGAAGGTCATGGAATCGAATCCCAATGAGGTCATTGAATTTTTCAGTTGACCTAATCCTTCCACCCACACTATGGCCCTGCGGTCGACTCATCCTCTGACAGAAATGAGTACCAGGAATCTGTGTGGGAGTAAAGGGCAGCTGGAGCATAAGGCTGACTACCTCACCTCCATCTGTGAGACTATTCTCTAGAAAATGTGGAAGCTTCAACCTCACACCCCTATGGGCCTTCATGGCCTGTTACAGGGACAGCTTTACCTTTTTATCTTCTTTTACCAGATAAAATTGCCATAGTAAATAAGAAGTTTTATTATTCCAGTGCAATCATTTTGAGGTTTAGCTCAGCCAGTATAGTGACGGGCTGGATGGTGTTGGAATCAGGGTTCAATTCCCAGCTGGAGCAGGAGATCTTTTTCTTCTCCACAGCATGAATACTGGCTCTGGGGTCCACCCAGCCTCCTGTATAATGAGTACCTGGGGCTTTATCCCTAGAGTAAAGGAGCTGAGGGATGAACCTGATCACTCACCTCCATCTATTGCCAAGGTTAATGCTAGGAACTGCACCTCAGTGTCCTCATATGTCTTCATAGTGTGGTGCTTAGTTAAACACAGGGACAGCTTTACTTTGCAGTCTTATAGGGGGAACATGACTACAGTGCATCCCCACATGAGAAAACAGAAATTGAAGATCTGACTTTGGATGATGCTTTTCAAAGTGGGAGACCATTAGACAACTTGGACACACCATCTTTTGATATTATAACGTAGACATTAACATGTATGGTTGCATTTATTGAAGTTGTTACTTTTCAACTGGATACCTGGAGTTCACTCCCTAGCAGTGGTAGAGGCTTTTCTCTTTGTGATCACATTCAGACCAGCTCGGGGTTTTACTAAGCCTTGTGTTCAGTGCATTTGGGATGTCTTTGTTACCTGAAACTTAAACAGCCAGAGTGTGAAGCTGACCACTCATGTCTGTGTAATGCTGAGATTTAAAATGTGGGTACATAAGCACAGGGAGAATTGAGTTTACTTTACTATGCCAGGGGCAATCTTGAGATAGATCAGATTTGCTTAATTTTTAATAGGAAAAAAGATTTTAAATTGTTAGGATGAAGTGGAGCTTTTGTTGAAATAAACTTTTTAAATTCTCTCCACACAAACTCCTTGTAATTTGCACAGACAAGAAATTCATAGCAAGTCAGAAGTTGCTATTTAAAGCTTTGTAGCTGTGAAACTTGTTACTAGAACCATAATCTGGATTTGAGGAACATTTTAAACCAACCTCTGTTGTTTAGAATTTTGGTCTTAAAATTGTTTTTGTAACTTTATTATTGTCAGAGGTATCAGTAACTCAAAGTAGTATGTTCGGAACCCCCAAGTGACATGTATACATACAATGCACTGGCTTTCATCCATCCAGACTAAAACATGTTATTCCTGTGCTCATAGTAAATTTCCTGATTTGTGTGTGTCAGTATTATACTGTATAGTTCTTATAATGGTGTAGTCCTGGACAGTTGCCTTTAGAGCTGAAGAAATTTGAGTGTATCATTAATGAACCCTCAAACAAAAGCATTTATTTTTTCGCGTATGGTATATGGAAAAAATTGCATTGTCTGGACACCCAGAGCAATCTTTACTGTCTTCACCATAATTCCTTAATTTTAGTAGATTTGGAAAGAAGATGTTTCTTTATATTGTTTGTAGATACCTTGTGGCAGTACATTCCAGGACATTTCATTGCAGTATGGAACTGCGTGCCTTTATGTACCTCCATTCTTTGGCCATACATAATTTAAATTGCAGAAATTAAAGCTGTCAGCAAGTTGAGTCAGAAGCAGTAGTGGAAGTTCTTAATTTAATCGCACAAAATATATTCATATGATTTTGATGTGGAAGTTTGTATTAATTGAACTGTTTATACAGTTATCTTTGGGACATAAACATCGCTGAGGAGCAGTGCAATGGAACTTAATTCATTGACCCCCCCCTCCCCCAGGTCTGTGTGGTGTAATAGTAATACTCTTAAGACTGTAGACAGGATATATGTCTGTTTCTAATTTTCACCACACTGCTGACTTAGGTTCTTCAAATAACTGGATAACTTCCATGTTGCAGGTTGATATTTCTGATAATGGAGAAGTACAAAAAAACATGATGTGTTCTCCACTGGCATGACCTACGAAATTAAAAAAAATCGCATTGTTATTCAGACCCTATTAATGTGGTGCTGTCACTCGACATTCCNTGTTTGCTGATAATACCACACTTGGCTTCAACCTCAAGACCAAAACATACCATGCAGTGGTAGGTGTGCAAATTTTGACTAGTTTTCCAGTATTCGTACTGGCACAACATGCATGATCATGGTGCCACCATACACTTCAGTTTCCTTGTGAATTACAAAAGTTGTAAACATTGTAGTCTAAAGTGGGGTAGGGTATTAGTTTTAATACTAGAATAATTTGAAAAAGTAAAATTATTTGGCCTTACAGTATTCTGAAGATATTGTAACGTTAAATAAACCAATTAACAATCCGAACTGCATCTTCAGTAGCCAAACACGTTACAATATGATATTAATGCTCTTCCATACTGCTCTGAACAAATACAGGCTAAAAAATTCAAATGAAAGACTATATCAGAACATTTTCCATCATGATGGAGCTGAACCCTTCTTGAAAAGCCACCAGTTTCTCAGCCACTCAAGAATTTCCCAACATTTTATGGAACCCGAAGGTTTATTACCCTGTTCACAAGAGCCCGCCACTGGTCCCTGTCCAGTCCATACCACCCTATCCTATTGCTTGAGATCCATTTTAATATTATCCACTTTCATCAAAGTCTTCCTAGTGGTCTCTTTCCTTCTGGCCTTCCCACCAAAATCCTTTTATTTATTATTTTCCCCCATGCATGCTACATGCCCTGCCTGTATGTATACTGAATTTGTTTTTCTTCCTCAATACTGAAGTATGCATCTCAGGTGATAGTACAACGCTGTTATCTTTTTATCTGAACTGTGAGATGTCCTGGAAGTTCCACCATGTTCTTTATTTAGTTTGTGTTTCTTTCTGCTAGTAGTTATAGCTCTTCTGCTGGCACAATGGCTGAGTTCCCTTGGCACCAAGTACCGGACGTTTACATTGTTGATGTGGACAACACTGCTGAACCGTATTGGCAAATGATGGTACTAGCAACTTAGCTTTAGTTGTGTGGTGTTCATAGAGCATGTGTATCCCATAATGGCATGATTAGTTCCAGCTTTGTTTTGGAAGAAGTTGTAGACTGAAGACTAGAGGACACAACAACAGAGATGGCCTGTTTTAAGTGCATATTGCATCTGACATATTTTAAGGATTCAGTGTCATATATTTCTTCACTGCTTTCTACTGAGTCAAAACCTTGAAACAAACCATGTCATTTTCTTATCCAGTCATCCTCCAGGTTACATCCTAATCCTCACATCTGCCTTCATAAGCCTTAGAACAAAATTGTGAGATGGCCCTAGAAGAAATCTGGAAATTACAACGTAAAGGAATTGCATGCAGTGTGATATTGGTGCAAAGCTTTTTATGTATGTCATTTGTAAAAACTGTACATTGAGGTTATGTGGTAAAATATTTTCATTTAATGTCAGTACTGAATAAACGTTTCATACTTTCTGTCATTGTTTGCATGAAGTTGCACTTTCAAGTGTGAGAGTGCGTCATCACTGGATGCTGCTGATATCAGTATTATGACTGTGAACCATAGCTAACCTCCCTTTTTGTCATAATGGTACTGGAACGAGGAGAAGTGTTACTTCAATGTAGACCTCAGTAATATAATAATAATAATAATAGTATAGTTACACTCACCTCATTAATGTAAAAATTGATATTTTCACTTAGGCAACAAGTACAATAAGCTTCTTCTTTAAAAGCATGTTTGGGTGACATAAGACGACGTGTAGAAATACAAGATTACAAATGGCTCTCTGAAGTAACTGTGGAACTGTTTGCTTCTGTAAATCCAGTGCTTAGGAAACTGAGTGTGTGAATGTAAAACTTCATGCAGTCACATCTCTAAAATTAGGAGGAGGCATCTGATCAGCGTAATACACTGATTGTCATTACTTCTGAGGAAATTGATTCCCACCTTCCTGTAAACTGGGACTCCACAGCAATTTTAGATGTGGCGAAGGGGAAATTGTGAACCTTGGAGAGTTCTCTCGTCTGGGATATAACACCATGTACTCTGTTGAGAGTCAGCCATTGTTTTGGAGGAACGTGTTGCCTCCAGTTTCAGGGTCAAAGACTAAACCAAGCAAGAAACCAGTGTTAAACAGGTAGCAGCTCTCTGCTTGCTACCAGTTTCACGCTGTTTTTTTTTTTCTTGC